GTTGTTTCTTTTTTGAAACGTGGTACCCAACTAAAACTCGATTGAACTGAAAGATCTTTAATAAGTTTGTTTGCCAGTGTAATTATAGTATTATCTCTAACAGAGTAACCTTCTTCATTTAAATAATTTATGTTTAAAATTAACAACTTTTCAATATCAACATGTTTGGGCATTGGTCCTCTCTTTTCGATCAATTTTTTTCTGCAATTTCTTTAATTTTTTTATTGTTTTGAATGATAAATTCAGTTTTTGAATGAAACTTCTGACATCTTGGTTACAATGTTTTTTTCATCTTCTAATAACAACCTTGGATTTTTGTTCAAAAAATCAACTATCTTAAGTTTATCTTTTCATGTGATTCTTTTTGTTTGTGTTAAAATTGTATTGCAAGTTTGCATAAAACCTTTAAATGTTACTACATCACGATGATTCTTGTGTGTTATTAAATGATAATAAAAATATTACAATAATAAAACTACCGAAAGTTAATTCTATCAATTATTTTAGTTTTTAAAATCGTTTAAATTAATTTTCTTGAAAAAGTGGAATTAAACCCGATAATTCCAAAATATTATCAGTGAATTAAACCTGGATTATATACTGTATATAATAAACAAACAAAAATTACCAAAAAACCTGGAACGTCATATTGTTAAAAAAAACAAATTAAATACTCAGTCAATTCTTTGAAAAATATTTCAATATTTTAATATGACTATTGTGTGTGCATCACTTTTATACTGTTTATATTAATTATTACCAACATGTTCATATTACATTTTGCATTTTATATTTCATTTCCAACAAAAATAATAATGATTTTTTTAATTATTTTATGTTTTTTAAACACTTTTATTGATTGGTTTTAAAATAATAGTTATTGCATTTTACCATTATTTTCTTTTTTTTATTTTTTATGTTTTTGCTAAAAATATTATTTTTTAATTATTTCTAAATTATTTGTTTTTTAGATCACGATTTGAACTCGTTATTTCATTTTCATTTTACTATAATTGAACTACACTGTATAATATATTTAAAAAAAAAACACTTTTTAGCAGTATTGGTCTGTTGGGAATATGGTACTCGGCGAGTTAATCGAAATTCCTTGATTAAAAAATTATTAACTTATTAAATTAAAAACTAAAAAAGAAGACATCGATGGAGACTGAAAACGTTTTGAAATACGAAAGTGCAAGCAAGTTGGGTGATATTGGGCGGCTTCCTGTTGTGAAGAAAGACAAGTGGACGATATGCAGTCATGGGGATGGGGATGGTGTGTGCAGTGCTGCGATAGCATTGAGTGTGCCGCGATTCAAGAATGCGGATTTGGTGATCACACATCCGATGGGGATCAACCACGACATCAGAGACATTGAGACAAACCTTTTCATCAGCGACATAGCACTTGATGCGCGGACGTACATGTTGTTGTATGCCAAATTTGAGAGTCTTCTTGGCTTGGGATATCAAGTCATCTACATAGACCACCACAGATTACTTGGAACTCCACCTGATGGGATGGAGATGATCAACGATGAGAGTGCGTGTGCGAGTGAGCTAGTCCACAAGTACTTTACACGGCGAAATGAACTTCCTGAGATGTGTGATTTGTTAGCGTGTGTTGGGTGTGTTTGTGATTACATGGACGAGACAGATTACATCACGGACGTGATGAACAAGTTTGAGAAGCGATCTTTGTTTCTCGATGCGGGTATCATGGCACAAGGTCTCTCTGTTTATAGGAAGAAGGAAACAAAAGAACACTTTGTCAGACAACTGGTGAGTGGATTGATCCCTTGTGAAATACCAGAACTTGTTTATCGTGCGTTGGAAGTGTCTAAAAGTGATAAAGACGCACGTCGAGCAGTTATAGAAAACACATGTTGCAGTGAATACATTGCGTGGAGTTTGAATCCGCCGTGTGGGAAGTCGAAAGCAGCACATTTTTCGTGTTCAACAAAAGAGAAGATGGTGGGTCTTGCCATCTTTTACTACAAGCGACGTAAAGAGAAAGAAGTTCCACTCTACGACTTGTGTTTCAGAGGAACATCAACAGTCGATTTGCGAGAGATCATCACACCGCTCGCACTCTTCCTTGGTGGGTCGGGGGGTGGTCACGCAAATGCGGTTGGCAGTCGCGTTCCTGTGTCAAAGTTGCCACTAATGTTATATTATATCGACGTGCGAATGAAGGCGTATTTCAAGTCAAAGACCTACACAAACCTCCCACTCCCAAACAACGACGCAAACGAGAAGTTCGACGAGAAGATTTATAACAACTTCATCGACCTTAAGTCGTGGTTTAAAGTTGAAGAATAGAAAAATGGCAATTTGCCAATAATTCAAACGTTTGTATTTGTAAACATTCCAGCGAAATGTTTTCATGTAAATTCAAAAATAATTAGGTTTTACTAAAAATCAAATTATTTTTTTTTGAGTTGGTTATAATAAAAACCAGAATTTATAAAAATAAATTATTGGTTTTCATAATGATACTTTTAATTAAACTTATTAATAATTATTGTATTAATTTGAATTCTATAATTTAGTTATAGTTTGTTGAAGAAATGAAAAGTAAACAATTAAAATATAAAAACAATAATGAATGAAATTTAGTATAACTTCTTCTGTTTTTTCAAAGTCGCTCTTTTCCACGTTGGGAGAGCTTGGAAGGCCTCTGGTGTCATTCCAAATACCGTTTGGAATTCTTCGTCTGAAAGGTAAGTCTCGAGTGATTGTTCGTCGATGCCTTTTTGGAACTTCTTGTTGACAAGGTCGTCGTACGAGTACTTGATGAAGTACTTCTTGTACTCGTCGACGGCATCGAGTGTGTTGTCGTTGACACTACACTTCTGCTTTGCACCTTCTTGCCACCCATGGAAATGTGTTGTGAACACGTATGGCTCACTGTCTTGACTGACCAACTTGACTGGTCGCTTTCGCAACTCCTCACTCTTCCCCTTCTTGACATATTCAAGCGCCGCACTCAGTGCAAGTTTTCGTGTCTGGACTGCACATTTGCTTCCAACCCAGATGTACAACACATCAACCGTGTCAAGCAGAATTGCGTCGTTTGAGTTGAAGTGGTCTTGGGAGTATCTGACGTGCTCTTCACAGCGCAGCTCACCACTTGATGTTGTGAACTGGTACAGCCGGTCATTGTACATTGCGGTCGGCTGCGCCACAGTCGACTTTCCTCCATTGCCTTCACAAAGTCGTCTGTCTCACTGCCTTCTTCTATCTCGATAACGTGTTCACGTGCAAGACTTGTGTGGTG